GTTTGGAGTGAGTGGTTGAGAACTGGGGAGCATGGGGATGTGTGGAAAGCAACGCAGAGGAGCTGATGGCCTGTGGATACTGCTTGGCTGTGGAGTTTGGAAACTGGAGCCAAGGTGCTGTCACTGCAATGTGGTCACTCCTGTGGGGCGCTCTCTCCTTGTTCTGAAAGTCAGGTTGCTGAAATACAAAACATTTGAGGAATGGTCCCAGCAGAGGCGATAGTTGCTTCTTCTAACTCGGGAGGCAGACATCTCTTGGTTGTACGAGTTGTATGAATACAGTGAGAGCATTTGTGCTCAGTGGCAATGGCGTGCCCCTGCTCTTCATCCTTTAGCATCCCCTACAGCAGCGTCTACCCGGTCCCGCTGCTAAACGGCATCTCGCTTCTAAATAACAAATGTTAATTATCGTCTTAAAAATCCCAGGTCTGTAAAGTATCTACAGTGAAGCTCGCTACCCGGGCTTGGCGGGTAGGCTTTAGAGCGCACGTCACACCTCCTCCAGGCAGCCTGACGTGTCCATCTAGCGTGTTGGAACGCGTGAGAACTGCATGTTGAGGGCAGTAGCTCAGAGCAGGAGTGCTGGCAGGCTGGCTGGCACCTTGAAGATCTGGCCTCTTAATAAGTGCTTCTGTCCCACCCTTTGGTGACACCGTGTGTGTCTCCGAATGCCGTCAGTTCCCTCCTCCCAGTTGCGTGCGAGCCCTGAACGCTGCCCGCCCGTCCCTCCCTCTGTTCCCGCACAGCATCAGCCCTGTGATGCAGCACTGAAGTAATGCAGAATAAACCAATTTAAAACAGCGAGTATGAATTTCTTCCCTGAGGAGCCCTCTGGATGATAAAGGGACTCACAGCTGGTGCAGGAAGAGTTGTGAGAAGTGACCCTGCATCTTCTTGCAGGATGGGACCACTCAAAGCAGTTGGTGGAGCACACAAAAATATGACCAGGAGTAAACTTGCTTAAAAACCATCAAGGTCAGGCATGCTCAGAAGACCTAGTAATGCTGTGTGATAGGCACTAGAGCCATGGAATCCTTCCCATGCTGCAGAGTGGATCCAGCATACGCATGCCCACCATCTAGGACAACTTGGCAGGACATCTATACATGCTGGTTCCATGTAGGTGAGAAGTAGTGTCTGCAAATAGAATAATTCACTAGTGTTAATGGGCCGTCAGTTTTCTCAATGATCTCCTGTTTAAATATCGATTTATTTTGAATTTACCAGGCCTTATTTTGCTTAGCTTCTGAAATCTGATCCGATCGCATCACACGATGATATGGCTGCAAGTTTCAGCAGTCTCCTCCCTGCCAGCTGTGCTGGAGAACAAGCAGCTGGTTGTGCCAAGCAGAGCAGCCTCGACTGCGGGCTGTGATCGGAGGAGAATATTCCATTGTACCGCTCCGTTGTGTCCTGCGCGTCTCACTGCGGAGGTAAAATTAGATAATAGTAGCAAGCTGCAGTGACTCACCGTGCTGCTCGTCTGATTTACAGCAGCTCCCTAAACGATGTTTTTGCTCAGCATGCCACATAACCCATAATTGCAAACATGTGAGTAGACAAAAAGTACATTTTTCCAATTCCGTGTTATTTAGCATCAAGCAATCTCTGATGACTAAAACAGATGAAAGTCTCTTTGTATGGACATATTGTCACCTTCGATCTAATTCTTTTTATCTTGCTGTATCCCACTCGAAGTATTTTCTACAAATTCTTTGTCTTACTGTCTTCTTTTTTTCATGCTATCCAAGGATATTTAATTTTTGCCCTATTCCAGCGTCTCTTGCCAAGATTAATACTCCAGCTGCCTGGAAACTCTGAATTCCTTTGTTTTGAATTCATTCTTGTCGTCTTCGAATGACTGTACATCTTCTCTCCTATCTCTGTATCTGATCTTTCAGAATAATTTTCTACATATTTTAGCCAGACTTTTCTCATGGATACTTCTCTTCTTTCCATCTGTTCATTACTTTTCTATCAGCTCCCTGTCTGTCTTCAGCCTGCACCTCCCTTTCCTCTTCCAAATCCTTTTTTTTTCTCCTTTTTCTGTAGGTAACCCCATTTCTTCCATAGATTCTTCATTTATTAATTGCAAGTCATCTTTTCTGTCTCCCTCTACTACAGACAGGATCAGCCGAAGTCACTTCAGATGAGTACTTGTTCAGTGCTTTCTTCATTTCTTTTTTCACCGGTGGGGAAATTTCACAGCTTCCCGTCCCTTCAAGTTCAGTACTGTGGTGTCACTCCGATAGGAAAAGCTTTTCATCTGTACAGGGAGTGTAGGTTAAGGCAATTTAAGCCCATTGCTAATTGTCCTATCATAAAACTGGAGAACGGATTATCCCTTCTCCCCCCTTCCCTGATATCTTTTATGTGCATGAAGGTTGTTATCTTTTCTCCTGTCAGTCTTTTTCTAGCCCAAATCACCGTATTTCCTTCAATTTTGCCCCATTAGTCACGGTTCCTAGCACTGACATTGCTCTTGCTCCACACTGGGCAGCCCAATCGATGGGCAATTCTGGCTGCTGCCTGCAAGTTTTTGCTGTTACGGGGATGCTTCTTGATCGTGATTTTCACATGTGACACTATCTAGCTGTTCTGAAATGCTGCTTCTGCCATACCAAAGACACTCTGATTTGAAGATGGCAGTTTAAGAAGAGGGCATTTTATTTGGCGTTTGGTACTCTGACCTCATGGACAGCTAGTAGCGTTAGAGAAAGACGCTACCTTCTTCGGTGTGGGGTGGGTGGCTTTTGCCTTCCAACTTGCTTGGATTTGACATTCTTGAAAAACTTGAGTAAGTTTTAAAATGCTCCAGTTAGTTATCTGTGAGCATTCAACAATTTCCTGTAGGAAGTTTGTCAGAGAAATGGGAGGAATGAATCCATCTGATTCGAACTCAAAAATCCTTTGTTCATAGTCATCATTTATAGGCAGGGTGCATGAATTCAAGCGAAGTTGTAGCTGAAAGGTAACCCCTAAAGCAAGCACAGCGTGAACTCTGTGCTAAATTTATGGAAATCGTGTTGCCTTTTCTTTTTTTCATTATTAAAAAAAACACTACTTATGTTTAAAAAAAGACTCTTGACATTTGAAACTCTTCTACTAATGTTTTCCTGCCCCAGTGAAGTGTTTCTCTGTACAATTCAAGAAGCCCTTGAGGATTTATTGAAATCAGGGATGTGCTCGTACGAGTGTGTTCCCTTTGTATGTCGTAGTTACTTTCTTAAGTACTATCATGGAGACATAAAGGTTGTGATCACTTGGAAATCGTTGACAAATCGGCACTTCTTTGGCTATATCTGTAAACAGCTGCTACGTACCGGTGTGCGTGTGGAGAGTCAGGATCTTCAGAGGGCCGGGAAACGCCGCGGGGCCGTACGTCGGTACTGACCGCTGTGGGTCCCGCGGGCGCCGGGGACATTGTTCCTCGGGGAAGTTGCTTCAGAGCATACCAAATAAAACCATCTGTCTTTTTTAGAGAGGTTATTAAAAATTATTAGCCACGCTGTTATTTGTTAAATAAACACGTGAAGAATCCGAAGAGAATTTACAGCAGTGTTTGAGATCTCTTGGACTTGTCAAAATCGCATAAATTCAGGGGAGCAGTACAAAGCAGTACGTGTTTCCTGGGTTGCACATCCCTGACTTTGATAGTAGGAGATAACTTCTACTAGTGAAACTTTAACAAAAGTAACATAGAAAGCAATTTTTTCCTTGAGAGAACATGGTAGCTACCACATTGTCTGGAGCAGCATTTTACCTAAAACCTTTCTCTAAATTCGAGTCTTTCATGTCTTGCAAGAAAATTTGTTCGTGCCGAAGGAAGAATAAAGGTAGTAATGTGTAGGTATGCACGGTCACAAAGCAGGCACGCGTCTGGGATGGCGTAATAGGCAGATTTTTGTGATGTTGCTCTTCAGAGGGAGGCTGTCGGGCTGTGCTGATGGTATTTGATGTGTCACTGCTGGTGTTTGGGCTGATCCGTGCCCCCGTAGCAGCCCCAGCGCTGGGCTGGGCTCCAGGGGGGCAGAGCTGCCGTGTTTGAGCTCGAGATTCTGCGGAGAGCATCCTCCATTTGGAAACTCTCTCAATGGGATTTAATAAAAGTATACCACGGGTTTTCCTAGCTCTCAGATATTTTAGTTTGCTTCATTGCATCTATAATTTTGTTTTTTAAAGTTTATGACAGCTTTTACCCTTTTAAATTATAGTGGCAGAAACACGCCAGGCTATTGCTCTGGTGATATGTTTTTCAGTAGATTTGTTTTTTGGGTTTTTTTTGCTAAGGATATTTAGGATGTGCAAATGTGCTTATGTAGCTGTCCTCATCCAAAAATGCCCTCATAACAAGGCAGTCCGTGTTGAGGGCTCTGTGCTTCTCTTCTGAGTCAGCAGCGGCTGAGTGGGCGTGCAGGCCATATGCTCCATCAGAGTCGTTTTGAAACGAAATACTTTTTAATAAAGAGCCTACGGTATGTGATCTCTTCTCATTTCAGGCAGGGCACTCTGGAATTAGCTTGCAGCGGTTTTTTGGGGTTTTTTTTTCCCCCCTTCTGTTTTTTTCCCCTTGCACTACAAGCACTGTGTCCCGATAAAGCTGGACCCGCTCCAGCTGGGGCTGTCCGATGGATGTACTGGGCTGCTCCGGAGTTTTCTCCTGCGCTCCCTTCCCTTCCCTGGGATGCCTTTGCTGCTTTTTCAGAGCGCTCTCGGTGCGTGCGGAGAGCTGGTGGATCACGTTCAGGCCACCGGGCCAGCCCTTCTCTCTTGGTCATCAAGAAGTATTTGTGCCTCATGCAAAGCATGTAATAAAGAATGTAAACTGAAAGAGTGGTGGATGGAGATAACCGTTGCTGAACAGGCTGGGAAACCCTGGTGAAGGACGTAGCAACTATCCAGGCCCGTGGCTTGTTTTTATGAGTTATGTGCACACTTTCCAATCTCTTTGAGTGCTCAGGTTACGGTGATATTAACTGTGGCTGCTTCCTGTTTTTCAGGAGATGACTTCTCATTGATACAGCAAGAAATATATATGGTTAAAGAATGCAAGCATTGCAACATAGTCGCCTATTTTGGGAGCTATCTCAGGTAAACCCCACTTTTTATACTTGCATTTCTGCTGGTTCTTTCGTGAGACAATGCTCAGTCTGGTTGAGTACTTATATCTTCTCTCAATGTTCTTCTCTAGGTTGAATTCCCTTCGGTTCCCAGTTGGCTTTAAAAAAAAAAAAAAATGTGACTAATACTTTGTTTTCTCTGCTGGCCAAAAGGCTGGAATATTTTTATCACTAGGAACAGAAAGAAACTTCTCCCCTCGAGACTATTGCAACATATCCAATCCTACTCACTTGTAGGGCAGATTTTAAACATTTATCGGTTCTAATATAAAACTAGCTCATTGGCTACCTAAAGCAGCATTGCTTTTAGATATTTTATTTAATGGTAGTCTTGTGTGCTGTGGAAGCATAGCCAGTGAGTTGTAAGAGCAAAATACTAAATCTGAGCTGCTGGTAATAACATTTTTCATAATTCTGGTGTAACAGATGCGACGTACTGAGAGGCAGAAACAAGGTGATGCCAGCTGGCTGCATCTTCAAGTGCACACGTTAAATGTTATAGAGAAAGCTGTGGAATATTTTCCGTTTCTGTGGAACTCTGCCATTTATCAATTGGCTCTGTGGGATCATATATCACCACTTCGCCTGCTTGGTCTTTTTCTACAAGGCTTCATCTTTAGATTTCTTGGAGGGCTGCATTTTTTAAGTCATGTCTTCAGCCCAAATGGACTTCAAGTGGAAAAAATAGCTAAATTTCTAAATCTCCAATACCACTTTTGGAGGCCATGAAGAGTTTTTTAGATATAACTAGGCAATTTCAGTCTAAGATTGAAACCTTTAGTGTGATATGTAATGTAATCTTGCTGATAGCAGGTAAACCTCAGGTGTTTCTACTACATGTTCTTTATTGCAGTTAGAAGGTTAACGTGACATTTTTTAGGTCTGATAACATTTAAACACTTGTTCAGTGACTTTGGCATAAAATTTTCCTTTTGACAAGAATTTACATTGAGAGTATTAATAACATGTAAAACATGTAACTGCTAATCACATTGCACAGCGTGTATTTTTAACAAAGGGTGATCAAGACCAATAGAAAATAATTTAAATAATCACGATTAACTCTGTTGTGTATACAGATCAATCAGCTTCTGATGCCTCTGTTTTAACTTTTCTTTTGATAGCCGTGAAAAGCTGTGGATATGCATGGAATACTGCGGTGGGGGATCCCTCCAAGATATTTACCATGGTACTTTGAAATTTATTTTAACGTTTGTACCTTTGAGAAGCTTTCTGCAAAGAAGCAAAATAAATAATATGCAAACTAACAGGGATGGTTGGTTCTGGCTGGGCACCGCACGTATTTTTTCTTAGGGCACGAACAGTGTTTTTTAGCTACAGTCAACGGGTTTTGTTGAGAGCACTTCTCAAACATGTTAACTGTCATTTCTGGGCTAATAACCTGTCATTCTAGGGCAGAATGTGCTTTATTTTTTAATCGTCACAGTGTTAATTTTTCTCCATGGTGCTTAGGGGACTGACCCAAAGAGCTTGGGTTACTCACGTGGAGAGCTGTTCAGTAGGTGCAGTCGCTGCGCGCTGGGAGCTTGCCCGTGTCCTGGCTCCTCTCAGCCTCTGTCTCTGAATGCCATATGCAGGAGCAGGTTGTCTGCTTTCTGAAGGGGTGGAAAAAAGACCTCTAAAAAAGTTCACAACTAGAAATCCCACTAATTTAACGGAGACTGCATGGTGTTAGGAAGCAATTTTCACTGGGAAATCTCAAATTTTGGTCTTTAAAGGGTAAAAATTACTCTTATTCCTGCTCCTGTGCAATACCATACCGCTCTCATTATTATTTTCCCCTCTGAGGTTTCATCCAGAGTTGTTGATTCTGTAGAAGAATTTATTAGAGTAGTTGGAAAAGCAGTATGGGGGCTTGCTCTGCCTTTAAATGATAACATGGAGGTTTTGATCAACAGAGGTCTTTCTGCTTTATTTTTCATCCAGTCACTACAAATAGCTTTAAAACAATTCTACGTCGCATAGGCCCCTAGTATAGAACATTGCCATTTCTAATATTAAAAAATTAGCAGAAGAGCTTTTACTGGTTTTTACCTTCCTCAGAATATACGGGATATTACATTACTACGAAGTCACTTGTAAAATGATAATTAGATTTCTGTGAAAACGGGTTTTCTTCTCACTGTGGGTATTGTCTTCTGTTACTGTGCTGGGGTTTTTTTGCAGAAAGCCTTTCTGTAAAACAAGCAAACAAAACCCTCTTTTCAGCTCAATGTAAAATACAGTTCGTGTAAAACTGGTCTTTAACTTTTGCATGGAGATACCACTTTTTGGCTGCTTCACAATGTTATTTGTGTTGTATATTGTAGACTTACACACTTTTTCATCTTTGTTTTCAGTAACAGGGCCTCTGTCAGAGTTACAAATTGCATATGTATGCAGAGAAACTTTACAGGTACTGTACTTCTGCAGGTATATGGTAAAGTGTTTACTCTGTGTATAGAAAGGAGATACAGAAGATGATTTCAGAATGCGCTGCAGTACCATCACTTACTTTTGTAAGCATTGGGAATCTAGCTGAAACCAATTAACCCAGGTTAATCTGTGAGTTTCCATATTGTAAAGAAAAATTAGCAAGAAATTCCAGAAACGTAGTGCAGATATTTGCTTAAAATCATTGTCAGAGCAATGCTGCTTCTGTGCTGTAATTTGCAAAGGAGTTTACACAAGAGCAGACATCTCTGTGGATCCCGCTGCAGGACCAAAATATCAAACCTCAGTCCTGCTCCTGTTTCTTCGGTGAGCGTGTTGGCTTCAGGGAAACCGTGGCAGACAGATCAGTGCAGGTTGTGACCGCAGTGTTGTCTGGGCTGTTTTCATCCATTGTTCTAACACAGTGATTCAGTGCAGCAGTTGTTTAGAACAAATTTTTGAATCTCATTGCAGAAAACAGCTAGTACCTTGTAAGTGAGGGTAAGAGCTGATTAATGGAGAAAAAAAAAGAAAAACAAGGCACATTTTAAACTGCCTGCTTGATCTGTGGCAATAAATCCTAATAATTTGTAGAGGAAAAAATACTGCAACCAAAAGACTAAAATTCTCTTACTTTTTGTAATTGCTAATAACTGTAGAAATGCAAGGTAAGATGATGCAGGCAGCTTGTTTCTAAAAGGAACTTTTCTTTCCCCACTCTCTGTATCCATGAAAAATTGCGTGAGAGGATCACGGGGATGCACACCTTTCCCTGAAGCGGTGGCTGAAGTGGTCGCTGCCGGAGGCAGGGGTGTAGACCCGGGAACTAATCCGCTTGGAAGTTCCGTCCCTGATCTCTCCTTACTGCGGGGACTCGTATTGCTGGAAGGGCAGCTTAAAGGCTGAACACCTGCTTGTTGAAACCTTCAGGCCTTCAAAAATATAGTTAATTTTAGTAAAGGGAAAAGGTGATGTGTGTTGAGGTTTGTTCTGAAAATACACTTGCATCGGTGTAAAATGTTACACCAGGGCTGGTTTAAGCAAGTCTTCACGTGTATTGAATGGAGCTGGCAGAGATGAGGAACAGAATCCAGCATACCTCTTATCTGCAAATCTCAAATGTCTTCACTCTTAAATATAATACATTGAGTAATTTAAATTTGTTAAATGGGACTGCCTTTATAGTATGTTAAATTCCAAAATGACATGTTTGTCTCTTTTTATTTCAGGGTCTTGCTTATTTGCATATGAAGGGCAAAATGCATAGAGATATAAAGGTAAATTGGAACTTTGAGAAACTTATCTTAAACTTTCCGGTGCCGAAAAATATTCCTGATAAAGCATTTTAACTTTCTATTTATCATGTTTTAGGGTGCAAATATTCTACTAACTGACCACGGAGATGTCAAATTAGGTAAGTTGCCTGAATTTAATAATAAGACAGAAAGCAAATGGGAACGTTTTAATTTGATCGATCAAAAGCTACAGTACCAGCTGAGATACTTTGATTTAACAAGTTGCCTTTTACTTTCATCATTCTGTTAAAACAAAAAAAACCCCAGAATGTAGAGACCGTGCATCCCAAGAATAGTATTCAGCTTTTATAAGGCTTTGTTTTGTATTGAGCAGCATGTGCACAGCAAAGGTTGAGCTTGCTACAAAAGATAGAGCATAATACAGCAGATGTCCTGTATTGTTGCAGTCAGTTTTATTAGATACTGTTCTCAGTGGCATGAAGGATGCGCTATAGGATGTTCTTGTTCTTATTTGGGGCAATAGATGATAATAGAAAGTGTGTATCCATGAGTTTGTGTGCATATGAGGAGAGAAGTTTTGCAGAAGTTACAGATAATTTCTTTTTTCAACAAACAACCCTTGAAGTCTCCAAGGTTTCCCTGGAATTTGCCAGGCTGGGGCTACCTGGATATCAACGTGTTTGTTCCTAGCCAGAACAGCAGTTCTCCCTCAGAGCCTCCACTGTGTGAGACATGAGACAGCGTCTCCTGAGCCTGGCAGCCTGTGGAAATGCAGGGTCTGATCCTGGCTGTGCCTCTGGCCCAGTGCATGACACTGGGCATTTCCACGTGTGTGGAGAAGAGGAAACTCTCCTTCTTTGCAAGTGCTCTGAGGTCCACAGATGAAAACTCAGAAGAGATCTGTATTACTGGCTTCCTCCAGTGACACTTTGCGTTTAGCGCAGCACAAACAGGCTGAATCTCTTGTTATCTGAGCGCACTGCCTTCAAAACCCCAATCTGCCTGTCTGCTGCCTCACTTCACGGGAGTCTACGTGTAGTTAGGACTGTGCAGGAGGTCGGGAGCAGACATCCTGGGAGAAGGAGTGGAATGCTCAACATCTTACTGTGTCCAGTGTTGGATTTAGGGTGGTTGTGCATTAGCTGCATTGCTGCTCTTCAGAAAAGCCGTGTGGTTCAACACATTTACTCCCCAGTGGTGAACCAGGAATGCTGTGCTAGGCAAGTTTGGCTTTTTAAAGAAGAGGGGAAAAAAAAAAAAAAAAAAGAATAAAACCTTGAAGCTCACAGGAGCTTCCACTAAATGCATTAAACTTGGGTTATGTACTGATACATTCCTTTTGCCTGCTAAGATAGTTAGATTTGCCTACAATTATCCTCCAGCTATCTACTACCAATGCAATAAAAATAAAAAGGATTTAAATGATTTTTGGCTTTGCAAGACCACCTGATTATCTGCAGCTCTGAGAGCAAGAGATTATTGTCCCCTAGACGGAGTCTCCAGTCTCCAGAAATGAGAACAGATGGCCCCCCGCAGTTCCTCCATAAGTAACACAGTACCGTTTCCAAAGCATGATGCTGTTTTTCCTCTTGAATATTAAGTTGAACATCCACTAAATTTTGTGAGGTTGCCTGGTTGCTGTATTGTGAGATGGAAAAACAGCTGGGAGAGGAACAGGATCATGAGCGAGCTGTATGTAGGAACTCATCTTTTCAATTTGAAGTCATGTCAGTGAAGACATTAGCTTATCACATTATTAATCTTTAACTGTTGAAGCTGAATTAATTTTTAATTTGGATGAGAAACGTGATTGTTCTTTCGTAATCTGATACTTCCAAGAGCAGATTTCGGGTCTTAAAATGAGATGTCTAAGTCTATGATAATTTCATTTTCTAGCTGACTTCGGTGTAGCAGCAAAAATAACAGCCACCATTGCGAAGAGGAAATCATTTATTGGTACCCCTTACTGGTAATAAACTACTTTGATTGCTATAATTGTATGCAAAGCTGAGTCTGTATTTATGCCGAGAATTCTAAAATACACACACTGAAGTATACACACATATTTTTAAATATATAGCAACTGCATAAATTCCCTTTCTTCCAAGCAAAATACCCAAAGGGTAAAAGTCTGGGAAGCACTGATTGTAGCTGATTTGTTGCTGTGACACAAACTGCCTGATGTTTGAGGCAGGATTGCTATTTCTCCCAAGTTTATTAATGCAGAACATTCTCCCCTTTTTCTGGATACCTAATGCTCCTTGAGTTTCTCAGTAGCTTCTTACACTTTTAGTGAATAAACTAAACAATGTCTTTTTGATTTCTGTGCAGAAAGAATTGTGAAGAAAAACAGATTTTAAACTCTCTTTTAATAATCTCTACCGATTAATGTCTGTACGAGACAGCATTTGATATGCAAATGTTTCATTGTAAATCTTAAGCTGGATTATAGATGCAAATTTAACTGCTGTTGGTTTCTGGCGTTCCTGTGATGCAGCTGAGATGCCTCGGGCGGGCGGCGGTATTCTTGGTATAGACTGAACGCATACATGGAGCTTAATCCAGACAATGGCTTTTAATTGTTCACTGCCCTCTTTATCCTGTTGGAGGAGGAGGACTGAGGGCAGGAAGATTATCTGGTCATTAAAGCATTTCACCAGGAATCATGAGACTGGTTCTATTCCTAGCACTGCTGTCCAGCCCATGACCTGGGGCAAAAAGCGTCCCCTCTGTGTGTATCTCCGCTCCCCTAGTGCTGGGTGTCCTGGTTTCAGGAGGGGGATGTCAGGCTGTTCCCTGACTTAGGTTCTCTGGGGGGAGGTTCTGCTCTAGGGTTATGTGAAGTGCTCTGTGCCTCCTGTGTGCAGGCACTGGTTCAGAAGTGGCTGGTCCTCTCATTGAATGATGCCTTTGCTTTTAAAGGATGGCCCCAGAAGTTGCAGCAGTGGAAAAGAATGGTGGATATAACCAGCTCTGCGATATCTGGGCGGTTGGAATAACAGCGATTGAACTGGCAGAGCTTCAGCCACCCATGTTTGATCTTCACCCGATGAGGTCTGCTGGCTGGGGAGCTTGCTTATCTTCAGTCCCAGTAGATGAAGTTCAACCTTCTCCGTAGCTCAGACCTAGAAACTCACACCGGGATTCCTTCATCAAACATCTACCTGAGTGTCTTATTAAGATATCGGTCTGAAGCTACAGACTTAAATTGAGAATTGAAATTATCATTGATATTTCTTATTTTTTAAAGAAAAACTTTGTAGTGTCAACAGCAATGTGATTAAGAACAGGTTTGTTAAATCACTGGAGAAGCTGTAGTCTCATGTTTAACAGGGTTATGCATGGCGATAAAAAGATTTTATTTAAAGATAAGAAAATCAACAGCTTTACTGTGTCTGTCCTCTAACACAGTATAGACTATAATCCAGTTTCACCAGTATGATTCTTACCATAAAGTATTAATGTAAAGTGTTTAGATATTGGAATGAAATCAATTATTTTTTTTACCATATAATAACATTATTCTTCCTTTACTTTTAGGGCTTTGTTTTTAATGTCAAAAAGTAATTTTCAACCGCCAAAGCTAAAGGAAAAAGCAAAATGGTAGGTTAAACTCTTTCCTTTGTTCAATATCTTGTAGATAATGTGAAAAAAAATATTTTTCATTATTGAAGAAGGCAGGCAGTGAAAAATAGTGTGTGCTAGTTTTAAACTCAGTAATCTGAAACTTCACTTATAGGAAGTTTCACTGAGGAGCGACTAGTTGTTTTTTATAGGTGTCTGAAAGCAAACGGGAGGGTTAAGGTCCAGCAGCAGATGTTTTCTGACATGGCAGAAAACCAGTGGTATGGGACAGGACAGCCATACCTATGTAAATTGATCCCTGCCAGTGATCCAGAGGGAAACGAAATCTCCCTTCTTCAGTCCTTTTTGTGTGTTCTAGGAAGAAAAAACTATTTTTATCCTTTCCCCTTAATTCCTATTATAGGGCATTTGCCCTATAAGCAAACAGGTAATTGTTTAATCCTTTCCTGATTTCTTTACCCCGTGATACCTTCCTAGTGCCTGCAGCATTTTGTACCACACTTATTCATGTTTTATTTATGAGACTCAAAACAATTCTGAGATGCGGGATTTTTTGCTCATGATGCTGCTGTAAAATCTTTTTACCTTGAGGCGTTTGGATAGGCAGATGTGTGCTAGAGGAAGGGAGAAAACACTTCGAAGTGCATGTTTCCTGTATCGAAACTGCTCGGCGTGACCCCAGCCAGTGCACTTCGCTTCTCCAGTGCCGCCTTCTCAGATGCTGTGACTAGAAGAGGAAATGTGTTTTGTAACATGATTTGAAAGCAAGCAGGCTGGGGCTAATGCTGCCCCTGGAGAGGTGTACTAACACAAACGCAATTGCGAGAAAAAAGCTTGAAAAATTGTAGGTCCCCAACATCAAGTCATAATTTGGATCTAAAAAGAGGTTATATAACACAATCACCTAAGTTCTGAAAATAGCGAGGAAGCATTTTAAAGAGTAAGTTGAGCCTGTGTCTGGAACTTTGTATTTTACTTCCCTACCTGTAGCCAAGAGCAGTGAAATTAGTACATTTGCCTAGGTGTTGTGGGTTTGCTGGGTACATAATTCACAATTTTTACTTCTGATACCTAATTCTATAACAATTGAAACTGGAAAAAGTTGAAATAGCGCCTTACGTGTTCAGGTTATTTTCCATACCAAAATGTTTTCCATACAAGTTCTATGAATCATATGGGCTTTTCCCTGTCTCGTTAACTTGGTAATGTAATTATTCAAACCTGAGATGAGGTACTCGGACAACGTTCTAATTTAGCACACCCTTTTGTAATCTGTTTAGTAACTGTGTTAAAATCAAAAAAATCTTCTTGAAAAGTTAAACATAAGCCCTCATTTTTCTTCAAGGTCATCAACATTCCATAATTTTGTCAAAATAGCACTTACAAAAAATCCAAAGAAGAGACCGACAGCAGACAGACTCCTTTCTGTAAGTCACTTGGAACATTTAATGACATCAACGAGAGATCTCTTGCTTCAAAGTGAGCAACACATCAATAGGGAACCAAACTAGAACAATTTTCTTTCTCTGATCTTACAACATGGGTGGTGAAATCTGAAGGAAAGGACATTGGTCAACTGTAGAAAGTAGCAAGACTTTGTTCAAATATCAAGATTTTTATACAATTTTTGGTAGGAAAAATTACACAAATTGGCCTCATGCTCTGTCTTCAGCCTTGTCCTTCTTGGAAGTGGGTGACTCAGTCACTCTCAGGTGTAGCTGAGTAGACGTGGACCCTTCCTGTCACCCAAATAGAAAATGGATGGATTTAGCAGTTGTTCATGTGTCTATTTCTGCCTTCCTAAACTGGACTGAACTGCTCACGCTAAATAACGAAGTTAAGGTGTAACTGTTTGTTTGACTCAGTTTAATTTCCAATTTACTACTGGCCAAAAGTGTGGCATTTGCATGCTTATGGAAGGGTTAGAAAGCCTAGCCAGTAAGGAGTTGTTAAATAAATACTCAAGTCTCTAGAAAGCAGGCAAAATTCAGTAATAGAATCATAGAATCGCTTGGTTGGAAGGGACCTTTAAGATTATTGAGTCCAACCATCAACCTACCCTGACAAAGCCACCTCTAAACCGTGTCCCCAAGTACCACATCTGCCCTTTGTTTAAACACCTCCAGGGATGGCGAATCCACCCCCTCCCTGGGCAGCCTGTGCCAATGTCTAATAACCCTTTCAGTGAAAAAAATTTTCCTGCTATCCAATCTAAACCTCCCCTGACATAACTTGAATCCATTTCCTCTTGTCTTATCACTTGTCACCAGGGAGAAGAGCTCAGCCCCCACCTCTCTGCACCCTCCTTTCAGGTAGTTGTAGAGGGTGATAAGGTCTCCCCTCAGCCTCCTCTTCTCCAGGCTGAACAACCCCAGTTCCCTCAGTCGTTCCTCATCAGACATGTCCTCCAGACCCCTCACCAGCTTTGTAGCCCTTCTCTGGACACGCTCCAACACCTCAACGTCCTTCTTGTAGTGAGGGGCCCAAAACTGAACACAGTACTCGAGGTGGGGCCTCACCAGTGCCGAGTACAGGGGGGCAATTACTGTCCCAGTCCTGCTGGCCATGCTATTCCTGATAGAGGCCAGGATGCTGTTGGCCTTCTTGGCCACCTGGGCACACTGCCGGCTCATATTCAGCTGGCTGTCCACCAACACCCCCAGGTCCTTTTCTGCAAGGCAGCTTTCCAGCCACTCCACCCCATGCAGCGCTATGGGCTTGGGGTGGTTGTGACCCAACATTCTGTATTGGATGGTTATTAATGAAAGTTGCCTATCAGTTGCATATAATAACTTGTTCTTTTCTGCGGTTCTAGCATAGTTTTGTAGGGCAGCCTGGTCTTTCAAGATCTTTAGCAGTTGAGCTGTTGGACAAAGTTAATAATCCTGACAACCATACACACTATGAAGTTGACGACGATGATTTTGAGGTGAGAGCATCTTTTATTTAAGTAAACTACTGTTTAAATACCCCGCTTTGCTTTGGGAATGTAAGGTTGCAGTTTCACAGGGGCAGTGCCCCAGCATTTTTAGAGCTCCGTTTGTAGTTACCATGCAGGAGAAGCCAGGAAATACTGCCACAGCGCTTGTCACCCTTATGCTGTGGCTATATAGAAGGATCCTGCACATGGGCTGTGTAAGGCCAGGACAGAGGCGGTGCATGTTACGGTGTGTGACTGCAACAGCTATTCTTTGTCCTCGTGGGTTTGATTGTTGATTGATATCCAACAGAAAACCACGGGACCTTTCTCAACTTTTCCGTTTATAACCCTTGCAGCCTCACTCCGTTATCCGCCATACGATTCGTTCTACGAACAGGAACGTTAGGGCAGAAAGAACGGCATCGGAGATAAACTGTAAGTCCCGATGTGCTTTAGCCATTTTGTGATGTTGCTTTGCTCCTACCAATGGAGGATGTCGGTGTCATTCTTTTGTTGTGTACTCTGGAAAGTCTCTTCTGCTGTTGGCACATTTGAGAAACAGGAGAAACAGCACACACACATGAATCTTCAATAATATTTTTCCAAAACCAAAATTAAAACTTGCATATTTTTCTGCTGTTTCATTCCATCTCATTGCTGCATCGTAATGTTTATGTGGAAACCTTGCATGGCCAGCGTAGCCTTTCAGCTCTGTGATTTCTGTCAGACCATGCAGTCTTACTTAAAACAGCAAAAACACTAATAACGCGCAAACATTAAAAAAAAAAAAAAGAGCAAGCTGATAATTAGGAGGGCATCTTTTCACATCAGTACATCTGGTGTCATGCTGTGATGAGAAAATATAGAAAAAAGGTTCTCATTTTGTGTTGGTCTGCACATTGTTTCAAGTTCGTAAGTGAAACCTTTTCTTGACCCTCATGGAGCACTTGTGATTGCAATAGCTGTCCTGACAAGGCTGCATATTAACAGAATGCGTGTGCTTTTAATATAACCTTTTCTTTTCAAGACAATATTAATACACTACTCAGTTGGATCTAAGTTCATATTTTGAGGGTAGAAATGGCCTTTCTCCAGATTCGGACAAATGCCTTTTGTAGTGTAAATGTTCTCCACTCCTCTGCATCACATACATCACACTTTTAGGAAGCTTGCTGTTAAAAAGCCTCTGCCTTCTCTTTCACATGCATTAAAAGTAACATGTGGTCAGGTAGTTACATTTTAGTGTACTTTGGTATGATGACTTGGTATTTACTTTTGGTCTGTTTCTTTCTTGCGGGTTTCACATTTGCAAATTCAAGCATTTAGACAGTAACACAGATACTTAAGTGACAGTCATATTCTGTAGGTAAATTAAGTGTTGTCTACATAATATTTAGATCTGTTCCAATGTGTGTTTCACTGTAGTAAGCATTGAAAGGGCACTGGTATAAAGTTGTGTGTATTAAATTTGAAAATGTAATGTTTCGTAGTTGATAAACTGCAGTTTGAGCCCCCTCTAAGGAAAGAAACAGAAGCCCGGGATGAAATGGTAAGAACAAGTTTGCGTTATCCTTCATTTATTAAAATCATAGTGTCTTCATTGTTTTGTGGTTCAACTCCAAGTAATATGTCTCTGAAATACAAAGTCATGAGAAGACCGCTCTTGGTCCCCCAGACAATTGCCACGTTTTTAAGAAAATGAATTGCCCCCCGTGCTTTGTGCAGAGAGTCATGCTCAGATGAAAAAAAACAACATGTGCCAATTAATTTGATAATGTGAAGAGGCCGTTCTGCGTTTGAGTCCCTGATCTTCCCATCATCAGGGTTTGTTTGCTGCTTGTTTCTTGGAAGGCCGCCAGCTCGCACACAGCCAGTTTTGCCCCCTGTGAGCCGCTGCTGTTTGTTCCAGCCCTCAGCAGTTTACTGCAGATCAGCTAATTAACGTTCTTTGGGATTAGTATGTGCCTGTGTACACAAGGGCTCTATTTTTTAATAAGTGTTGTGAATAGCAACAGCTGCCATTAATTTGGATTTGGAGACATTAGTGCTCAGCGCTGCAGAAAAATCCCATTCCTGTGTTTTACAGCTGTACTCCAGCTCACCAGGTAGGTACGGGTTCATCTTTTTTTGAATGTGACTGATTAGATCTGTACATGTTGTTACCGGTGAGGTCCCCTCAGTGCCCTGTCTAGTGACAGGAACACTCCCAGCCTCTGCTGGTGGCATCTCACATGAGTTTGGAGGTGGCTGCGGTATGTTCTCTTGCTGGAAGAATGTCTTGGAAGTGCCCTGAGTGGAAAATACTAGTTTTCACTGTAAATTTTTGCTTTCGTGTTACTTATTGCCACTTGATATTGGCATTATACCATTTCCAGGTGCTGCTTTTAAGTTCGAGTCTAAAAAGAAGATGATGGCTTTTCAATAGTTGCTTTATAATTAGATTGTAAAACATTATTTCACTTTGGACTTCTATTTTACTGCTTATGGGTCATTCTGCAGGGCTTGGGAATCTCCCAGGCCTCTTCCTGTGCTGTAGATAAGGTATTTCAGTTTGAGAGCAAGAAAAAAAATGAAAATTTCTGCATCTTCAGGTTGTGGCAGCTGGCACTGACTTTGCTTCGCATTGGAATCCTTTTGTTGATGGCGGAAGCAGCAAGTAAGTACAGAGTTTAAAAATTTCTTTTATTGCTGTGACTTAGTATGAAAATACACTGAAAGAGAAATTAGACTACGGTGGAAAATCAAAACATAAGCCCTAATCTGCGTTAATGTTCATAAAGTTAAAGGAGATTTTACCTAGTATGCAGTCCTCCTTCTGCAGTTGGTTGGTCATTCTCTTGGGGAGTGGGTTTTAATCTCTTTTAACCACGAACAGTAGTTTGTTTTAGATTCGTTTTAGCTCCCCAGTTGTAGATGGAAAGGGAAGTGTAAACATATGACCAGCACGCTGAAATAACACAGCCAAAGTCAATTTTCTGAAGCAAAGCCGGTAACCTTGCAAGGGCTGCGTTCAGGATCCTGCACCGGCCTTGCACTTCTCTTCTGAGCCGCGGCTGTGGTTGTGACATCCTGTGGCAGAGCGTGTTCGCAGTCCTGAAGTCGGGTCCTTGCAAGAAAGGGAAGGAGAAACTAGTTCTGAAGATTTAGTTTTTACCAAGTTCAGTATGACGGCACCACTGCTTCTGCTGTGGGTGTTGGATCAGTGTAATCTCTAATACAGTCATGTAGTGTTCTGGGGTGCAATGTTCGAGGTAAAGATATGCTAGAACTGATTTCCCCTGAGATAAAGCAGGCCTGAAGTAAGGGAGCACAACTCTGTCCAAGTTAGGACTGAATGTAATAGGTATGTGGCTTCCTTTTGCTGCAAACTACCAGATTCTGCCTTTAAAGGCAATCTTTCGATTTGCAGTGAAGAATATGGAAATTTAGTAATACTGACTGATGCACATATGTACGGCAAGATGGTATTTCGGTTGAAATAATCGCTCAGCTGAAAGAGCCTGTTGCCCATCTTTACTTGGAACTGAATAGCAGACAATTAATTTCTTTGGCTTTTTTGCAGATAAAGTCTTGCATAAGCTGTCAGCTGACATTACAGCCCCCTGGAAAGCTGGCCGTGTCACGGAGATTGCCAGTGTTTGGGTCTTTTTAAGTTCAACCCGTTTTTTTTGTTATCACTCCCATTGTAGTAGAAGTTTGGGGTGGCTTTTTAGGCCTTGCCTCTCCCTGCCCAGTAATGACAGCGACTGCTTTCCTTCCTCTCTCGGTTTGTTTGTGTGACCCTGATGAGCTGCAGATTGAAAGCCTTTCTCCTGAGTGCTGGCTTTTCTGCGGACAGCTGGAATCTGCGGGGTCGAGGAGCAGGGAGGGAGGGAAGCTCCTCCCGGCAAAGTGACTTACTGGTTTGATTCTGTTTCTGTAGTGTTATTAAAGTTGTCTATACCAGGCTGTATTAAAAGCAGAATGAATGTGGCTGTAGCAAACGTTGCTAGGGCTATAAATCGGTAAATAGATACAGATTTAGTATTGAAAGGAGGACAGGCATAAAGTTTCTGGATGGTGAATCTGTGCCGCTTACTTGGAAACCACTTCCAGTTTGAAAAGATAAACAGGAAACGCATAGCTCGTCTGTCCCAGGAATTCTGAGTAATACCAGGGGCGTACAGAGAGAGGATGTGTGCTGGGGGGGTCCTTGCCTTTCATGCCCTTTGGCTTTTATTAGAGTGAGTGGTGATTGATGTCTTCAACTCGGGAATTGCTTGGCTGCAAAGGGGAATACCAGAATGCATACCTGATGACTGAACTTATTTCTTATTTTTTCTCGTGCTTATTGTAGCATTTTAAAATTACTTTTTCTACACATTTTCTGTACTATGGAGGTGATTTTTTTTGTTGATGGTTGGACTTTTTCTCTTTTTTAAATTTTTGAGTAGTTCCTGTTGGCAACTGTCTGCCACTTTTCCTTCAGAAGTAACTTGCAGGGAAATTTTATAGTAATCCATATTTGGCTGGATTAGTTCTTGTATAATACGCTTTTGTTTTCCTGTTCGTTACCCCTGTGGCCATTCCTCAGTGGGTAACACGGGGTGTTGTGGATCGTGGAAGGATGTGTGAGTTGGGGGAGTATGGGGGTGTCTGCTCTGCAGGCAGAGGCTTGGACTGCACCGGGCTGCTGCAGCCTGAAGAAGCCAATCCCTGGTTGAACGCTGAGACAGCCACCTTCTGAGCTGCCTCTTCCACCTCACTGCTGCTAATTGCAGGAGCCTAGACTTCCCAGTATCCCAACAGCATACTAAGGAATGCGTTTTAGTGGCTTTAGATTTGTGGTTTCGATTTTTTTTATATTTAATGCCGTTTGATTTATTTATTTATTTTTAAAGACAGTTTGAAAGTTGCCATTTTGCAAAATTTTATCAGTTTTTGCTTGTTTCAGGATGATATTTTCAGCACTGCTTTGATGTTCTAGTCACAGTTTCTTTTTTGACCCTGGGGTAGCTTTGAAACAAAAATTCCCACTGTGATGGGAAACAGTCTGTATCTTTAGCATATAACACTAAAGGAGGAAACTTCCCTTTGTAAAGGCTTCTCTCCGTTTGTCTCCCAGTAACTTCCTCTGCTCTCATCTTTCTTTTTTTTCTCCTCTTTATATTGTACTGTTATTAGGCATTTCAACAATATTTAAAATACCAGGTAGGAGAATGAAAGATGGGTTGATGGTATGTGGTGTGGAAGCGAGCCTCAATGGTTGGGGTGAGGGGAAGGAAAGGACCATACTAAATGAAAAAAGGCTTAATGCAGTGAATAAGAGAGAAGTACTTTGTTTTGGAAAGGGTTGGGAGATACTTGTTACGAAACTAAATGACGTCACCGATTGGTTTAGTTGCGCATGTCAACCTCAGAGCAGAGCTCTTAATTTTATAAACATTTTACCTAGGGGACTGCTTACAAAATTTGGCGATGGGAGTGAAGATGTTGAAGAGTGAGTGGATCTCCTTCATGTACAGTTGTGTTTACTCCGTGCAGCTCTCGCTAAAGCAAGCAGCGTTCTGGCAAAACCTCTTTCCTTAAAATGCTGCAGGCAGCTTATAAATAAGTGAGGGCTGGTTGCACTCAAAGGTCTAACGCACGCTTGACTGTTTATGTGATCGTCAGGAGAATGTCTGCAAAGCAATGCTTTCTTCCCTTGCTCTCCTTCCTGAGGTTATCTCAGAGTGCATACGGAAGTGCCTAATACTTGAAAGCAGATTTTGTGTTGATTAATCCATCAATCATGAGCCAGGCCCAGTGCAGAGATTCCTGCAGAGCTCTGGTGGGGTATTTGCGGGTCCTCTGGTGCCCCAACATTTGACTGATCCAGAGCAAAAGCTGCAAACTGCACCGAAGGGTGGTGAACCTCTTTGTTGGTTGGCCTGAAGTTCGGCTGCAGGTGGGGTGCCTGTGAAAAATGATGGGAGGACATTGCTCTGTGACGTGATCTACTGGCCGATCCAGAAATGCAGCATTTTCACTGTCGGGAAGAATTTTCCAGAAAAAAACAAGCACAAAAGTAAAATTCAAGCAGTGGAAGGGGCGCCTTCAGGCAACTGGTCCCTGAACATGTATTTATTTGCTAATTTCAAATACCCTTCACCACAGAACGCTCTGTAACATTGGCATTTATGAAAGAACGTGAGTTTATCAAAAAGCAACACTTCTAACAAGATTAACGTGCTTTTTTCCCCATTCTTGGACTTCTAGTTTAACCCTGTTCATGCAAAGCTATGATCCGTCTTTTCTATGCATCTAGCTCACCTTATTTACACTCTGTGTTCTCAAGTAATTCTGTTTATGTTGTTGGTTTAACTGTGACAACTACTGCACTTTTTCATTGCAGGTCAACACTAAAGCGAGCAGGGCCACCTCCGCTACCTCCGAAGGTAAGAGATGGTGTTTTTTAAGAGTTTTAGGTGGCAAACCCCTGTTGCGCAGCCCCTGCAGCGCTTCTGTCTGATGGTTATAAATTCTGTTAAATGCCATTTGCTAGCAGACTTCACGCAGCTTCATATTTTATGCTGACTTGCAGTCTGTACGGTCTCAGCCTCTGGGGACTCCTGGGCTTACATGCTGCCCTAGACAAAGTGACTTGTAGGTATTTTCCCTCTAAAGAGAGCATGCTGCATGGGATGTCCTCTTGTTCAGCATTCTGCCTGGTGCTGTGGTTTTCCATCAGAGAGGGAATACCTCTTAGATTGTTATTCTGTCAAATGTCTTCAAAGGCTGTTTTGGGTTTGTTTTTTTTTTTTATGTAGAAGCAGTCTGACTTGAATTAAACTTTTCTGAAGTTGCTATTTCCCAGGTGCCATTTCCCAGGTAACCTTCATCTCTTTGCTTTGTTGCAGCCGAGAATAAACAGTTATCCCGAGGAAAACCTCCCAGATGATGAGAAGTGTCAGACAATAAAACATTTCCCAGACTCGCAGAACAGAGCCCCACCAGCTCACAGGAGACAAAGTATCCCTGTTTGCGGGCCTCAGACTGATTCTTCCCCCATTGGTATGACCAGCAGCATCAGCAGCCCTGGATTGCTCACAGCTAGATACAGCGACTTAGGTAAATACGTTACATTTCCTAAAGGTGACTTTTATCCTGTAAAAGGAAATCGGTTCTAGAGTCCACTGGTTTCAGTACATAATTTTTTTTAATACAAGCTGATCTTGAGGTGCAGCTTTCCTTTCTACGTGTGTGCTGGTTCTCATTACAGCGCTGACCCATGGTGGTTCCCAAAACAAGGACACGGAGCCAGTCACTACCCTTCCTGTGTTGCCTGCAGGAATAGCATAAAAACAGTGAATGTGCGGGGAGGATCATCTGCGAGGACCTTCCCACAGCTTTTTTCTTGGTTGTGTTTGGCCCAAGGACTGTTTGGACAATGGAAAGCCTTTATTAAAACTGTGTAGCTTAGCACACCGAAGAGTGGCCAGCTGTCCTCGGAAGGGTTCAGCTACCTGAGATGTGTATATGAAGTTTTCAGAGCTCACTTCTCCACTCCTGCTAGGCACAGGGGAGAAGAGAGAATAGGACAACAAAATATTTTCTGTTTTCTGCGTCAAGTGAGCTACAAAATGTGTCTGGGCTTCTTTTCAGGAAATGGGGATGGCATGTTGAAACTCATTGAAGAAAATGCAGAAGGGTCTGGACAAATCCCTCAGCTGCCACGCAAAAAAGAGAAAAGAGATTTTCCTGTAAGTATTGTGTCTCTCAGTCAGATTTCACTGTCATGTTAGCTAGCTAGTTTTATATCAGTGTGTGGGAGGTATTTTATGATCTTTCTTTCTTTCTTCCCACAGAAGCCAGCAATCAATGGTTTACCACCAACACCGAAGGTGCTGGTAAGAAATCTCATTTGCAGTAGGAGTTATTAGAAGCCTGCTGTCATGATATCTCTCTAGTGTCAGAAGGTTTAGGCTAGAATAAACCACCAGCTCACCTGAGGCAATTTTCTGCATCTCTTAGCCAGTTACTTACGGTGTCACAGTATTTGTTTCCTTCTCGTAAAAACTTCCTTTCACCAGTCGGTTTGGATGTGAAGGGTTGGAGACTTCACTGGCTCTGTGAGTTGTGATCTCCAGTGGTAGTCCCCGCCTGGTAAAGAGAAAGGGGGAGAGGCGGTAGTGTGATGCAAGAGGGTGTTATTACTTCAACGTTTCTGCTTGTTTTCCCTTCGTGTGCCATTTATATAAACACTCTAATATTCTTACCCAGTAGATACTTCAAATTGTTCGTATCATTCTGATCCCTCTTTGTGTTTCTTAATGTTTACAAAGTCTATGGAAAGGTTTGGAAGGCTGCACTGTAGCTTTTGTGGAAGATAAAAATGTTTTGCATCAAGGCATATCAGAGTAAGTTTGTGTCTGAAAAAAGAGAGCAGTGGTGTGTGCAGGTGTGTACTAAGTGACCAAGTGCCAGAAAATAAACACTTTATATTGTAAACTTGTTTCAGGCTTCAGTTTTGGTGTTTTTCAGATGGGAGCGTGTTTTTCCAAAGTCTTTGATGGTTGTCCTTTGAAAATTAATTGTGCAACATCATGGATACATCCAGATACTAAAGGTAAAGTTCTTTTAGGTTTGCATTTTAAACCTGCCTGTTGCCAAAGTGGCAATGAGCTTGTGAAATAATCAATTTCTCTTAAAATTTTAGATCAGTACATTATCTTTGGCACGGAAGAAGGTATCTATACTTTGAATTTGAATGAACTTCACGAAGCAACAATGGAACAGGTGATTTTTGGTGTATTGAACACACAGAATAGATTTGGGGATGTTATGAAAAAAGAAAGTTTGTTATTAGAGGGGGTCAATGGGATACCACGCTTTGGGGCATAAACTGATTCACATCAAAGCCGGAAATGGAAGTCCAAAAATGAATGGTTCCCCTGCCTACCTGAATTTTTGGCTGCTGCTTATGTAATGCTGCTTTCAGAGGAGTTTGCTACTAAAACATCTGTCTTCTCCTTGGAGACAACAGATTACCTGCCCTTTCTCTCTCAATTTTATCTCCACTAGATGGCATATTGCTTCTCCGCTGAATGCTACCGAAGCCCTCAGCCATTTAATTTAGCTGGCATTGTTACCAATGAATACGGATTTGCATCTGTTTTCCTGGGCTCTCTAACCCTTTCCAAAGCCACTTCATGCAATCGTGATATTGTTACGTTTGCTTTTTTAGAGTCAGGAGTAGCAGAGGATTCTCGGAAGAGAAGTGTTGGCAGACGCTGATAATGAGATTTATACCTGTAGGTTTCTGAAGCAGTCCACAAAGGCACTTCAGGCATCTAAAGAGCGTTAAATTCAGTCAAGAGATGGCACAGGTCAGAAAGCGGAGGTGGCAGGGTGGGTGTATCTATGAGTAATAGAGAGAGAAAGATGATTTCACAGAAAGGGCATTGCACAGAGATCTGTGCTTAAGAGAAGGGAGTCCTCTGTTTCTGGAAGCATCGTGCTAGAGGACAAAACTTGAGAGGGGCAAAAGAAAAAGGGAAGTGGTTCAGCAAGGTCACGGAGGGGGTTAGTTTGGAATGAACAGAAGAGAGAGAAGATTATAAAGAGCTTGATGGTGAGAATTGTGAATTTGAATTCAGTGAGCAGATCCTTTTAAGTTAAGAGAGCTGAGGGTGCACCTGAATGCAATAGGAGAGAGTTGAATATGAAGTTGCTTATCTTTTTGTAGCCTCAGCAGACATGGGGAACAAATACCTACTTTTCTAATAAATTTCTAAAAGTTGTGCTGGTTGCTGTTGGAGACCCTCTGGCGTTCTTACCACAATTTTCTCTTTACTTTGTTAGTCAAAGCAATCTCTTTCCTTGTACATTTTCCTAAATTATTCTTCCATATGCTTTTTTATATCCTATTGAAAGGTCAGATATGCCAGTGGTGGGTAGAAAGAACATTCAATGCACCCCAAAATGAAAAGTTCCGTTTCTGGGAGAGCATTCTCAGTTGGCAGAGGTCAGGTGTCATCCACTTCAAACCCTGGAGGATTCACCGGAGTGCTTTTACTGTGCCACTTATTTCTTTATTTGCTTTTATTAATTTCATTATTTCTCCCCACCAAATGCACATTTTAACTGTTTCTCAAACTTCTAATTGTGTTTACATCTTCCAAAGTGCTTACTGCCTCTCTAGGGTTAATATCTCCTAATTTCAGAAGTATACTTTTATTCCATTGTTAGTTTTTCAGTGAAAATGCTAAATAGAACCAGACCCAGAGAAGACACTATGTATCTACAGGCTGCTTTTTCCTTCTATTAGATAGAAATTGCTGATAGACACTCTCTTTTTATGTCAAACCAGTTGTATGTTTTCTTTCTGCAATTTCTTCTACCCCGTGCTTTCTTATTTTGCACGTGGGAATGGCACGCAGGACAAGGTCCTTCACACATGGTTCACATCTTACTGTTTCACTGCCCCCAGCAGGGCAGTCATTCTGTAAAAGAAAGAAATTCAGATGTTCAAATACAGCCTGTTCTGCACAAGTCTGCACTAGCTGCTCTTCTCATCCCTTGGTAATTAAAAAGTATGTGGCTCGTTCCTGTGCTACTCTGGGTATCTAGTCAGTCAGTCAGACTATTTTTCAAGTCCCACAGCCCTTTTTATTTGGCATAGGTACGGTGTTTGTCCTTCTTGTGCTCCGTGTTTGCCCGTCAGTTCTTGAAGATAATCATTACTGAGACCTTGGGGTTTGAGCCAGTTCTTAAGTACTGTAAAGTAAACTTTAGCGGGACCTGCTGACATGAGCGTATCTAGTTGAAATAGTGTGTAATGTGTTCTTTTTCTGCTTCTAGCACAAGTTTCTACCCCAGTGCTATTAACTGTGCTATTCCTCTTTTCTTCTTGTGGGGCCATTAAATGAAGCTAGTGGGAGCCAAATTAAAAATAAACAGTGGATAACTGGTTTGGGACCTTTTGCTATGGAGAGCTGCAAGTGCCAGGAGTTACCCGAGTTCAGAGGGGAAACTGGACAAATTTGAAGCTGGTAAATCCATTGAAGCTCACAAAATGCATAAAGCCCGTATCTGATTCGGCAGGTTTCTGAGTTGAAGAACTTGGTGCCTGGCAGAGTATTAGGTGCGGTATTACATACATTTTTTTCCATGTTTTCACCACTTTTAGGAGAAATTACGTGGCATTATGGTGACTGTTGGAAACATATATTAGGTTAGATGGACGTTTGCATAAATGAGTACAATCATTCCTTTGTAGAGCCTTGATTCAAGCATCTTCTGCTGTGTTTTGCAACAACTTCCCTCAGTGGATCCATCTGCTGTTGTCTTTTTTTAATAGTCTCCTTTAGAAATAGCTTAATCCTTTGAACTCCTTTTTTTCTTGACGGAGGACCTTACCTGTGACTACTGTTCAATAATTTATATTTTTTTTTTAACAAAATCCCTGTCCTTATTCTGTTGTCCTTATCCTTTCCTTCATTGAGACTCCTGAACGCTGTCATTTGCCATCACATTTATCAAAATTCCCTTCAGGTTGTCAAGAGGGTCTTCTTAACTTTAACCTCTTCTCAAATCTAGACTAGTTGCCTCATGAGTAACTTCTTCCCACTGAAGCAAAAATAAGTCCCAGAGCCTTCCGTGAACAGTATGTTTACAAAGCAGCATGCTGACACAAATAGCCAGGTGGGTAAGTCCCACAAAATACAGGATTTTGTGGTAATTCAAGTTGCTGAGAAAATACTAATGCCTTTTTTCCCTTTCTTTGGACTTTTATGGAGTTTATTAGGTTTCTATAGTAATGTTATCTTTCTTTCTCTGGTTGTCATTCCTGAGCAAACTATATCTTTCTATATATGGTATTCCAGTCCTGCCTGTTGTCCCACTTTGGCTCTGTGCTCTAATTAAAAAAATAGAGAAAAATTGAATTTTGAAAGTTTCCAGGGTAGAGGAGGGAAGGAATGAAAGCTATTTTAGACAGAGAAAAGGGCTACATGAAGGTCCAAAGTATGAATTAAAGGGGAAGCTGTGGTTGCAGCTGGGACTTTCTCCAGTGTCGATCCCTGCAGGAATGGTGCTGGAGCTGGAGCAGGCAGAGAAACCACAGTTGGAAATTCCTTTATGTTTTTATTAATGGAAATATTTTCTTTTTCCAGTTATTTCCACGAAAGTGCACCTGGCTGTATGTTATCAATAACACCTTAATGTCCTTGTCAGGTATGTATAAATAGAGTGAAAATTAATAAAATTATAAATAAAGAGAAACATTTTAAGTCATAATTCAGTACAATGTATTTTGATTGTACTGAAGTAGAAAACTGCATTGTTTCTTGTGTTTGTACAGGAAGCTTTGGTTCAAGAGTGTTTTAATGTGTAAGACTTTCAGAGGTAAAGCTGGATGTTTACAAGCAGTAGAGGCAGTTGTCTGCAGCGTCCCACCACATTAGTATTTATTTATTTACTTACTTTTAGTTAGTTTGGTAAAGCTCTGCACTTGGTATTTGTCAAACAAAAGTTGCCTCTGCCAAGGCTGCAATTTGACTGAAAGTGCCTAGAGAATCGAAGGTTTTTCCTCTTCTGTGGTCCCTGAGCTCGGAGAGTCGGAATGAGGGTGGCTTTCGTGTGTCAGAACAAAATTAGGAGAGGATGAACATAGGTGCATTGTCAAAATGTAGCTGCAATGTATGATCACTCTCACTGTGGTGTAGCCTGGCAGCATCTTTGGTGGAACCAGATTCAGAAAATAAATCCACCCTTAAACAAAAGCAGTTTCAATTTGAAGGAGAATGAGGTGGCTGTGCAATACTACTGCTCTTGCAGATTGATTCTTGAAAAAAATATCTTTTTTTCATCAAATTGTCCTGGAATAGGAAACAGAGGCGCGGTGGCATGCAGACTAATTGTAGGACTGTGCCTTTAAACATGCAGGGGTTTGTGTGACACCACTTATATTGATTTATAGATAAAGAAAATGTCCTGATATAGTTAATTGTTGTTGTATAATTACAGCCTTCTAAAAATGTGAATAAAGCTAACTTTCAGACCTGCTTTAGTGTTACTGAAGTGAACTTGGATTTGAATGCTGTTTCTTCTCTATATGCATTATTATTGTTGTCTTGTTTCATTTTTCTTCATAACTCGACTTGAAATATCTGACGCACGTGCTCCGTTTCTCTAGAAGGTAATGTTCCATACATGCATTTTTCTAAAATGTGCGGTTCTCTGCTGGAGGCATGGGTGCGATGTCAATTGTGCTTTTCTCTCTTACAGGGAAAACATTCCAGCTCTACTCCCACAATTTAATAGCTTTGTTTGAACAAGCCAAAAAAACAGGATTAGCTGCTCATATTCAAACCCATAGATTTCCTGACAAAATATTACCAAGGTACAAATCTTTCACTTGTAGACAGTTATTAGCAAGTGAAAATTCCCATAAATGTTGTTTGTGCTGTTGAATTGGTAGCATGAAGGGCCTTCGGCATCTTTTGCTGATGCTTTTTTTTTTTTATAATTGTTATTCCAGAAAGTTTGCCTTAACGACAAAGATCCCTGATACAAAAGGATGCCACAAATGCTGTATAGGTGAGTAGGCGTTCAGCTTTGCATTTTTTTTCCTGGCCTTTGTCGTTGGGCATGGCATGTCTTAAACTCATTTCTTTTTAATAAACTTATAGTTAGGTCATCGTTCAGAAAACAGTATGACTGCATTATTTCTTAATGCTGTGCCTAACTGGTGCATAGCTTTCTTTTTAATTAATGTGGAGGTCTTTATGCTGCTCAGTGGAAAAGTGTTTTTTATATCAGCTCTTAACCTAGAAATGTTGCTGTCTAGAGCACGGTCCAAAGGGAAACCCTGGAGAATGCCAGTAGTGTGTAGTTGATGGGTGTTGGATGCTCCCTTTGAGAGCTGCTGATGCCAAGACAAGCTCCCAGTGAATAAATCGATGTTGGGTATCGCTGGCCTCAGGCCACTCACGCCGACTGGTTGCTGTGACCTACAGCCTGCCTCCAAGTGTAACGCTTGGTACAGAATCCCAGACTTGTTGCACACGCACAAGATCCAACTTTGAGCGAGGCTAACTTGAAAAGATTATTTTCCACGCAGAAAAGGCTGGACGTGAATAAAAATTATGTCAGCCTGAGGAGGAGTGAAGCCATCGCGCAAGTTCTAAGTGCACACAAAAGAGTTGAAGCTTGTGAAGTTACAGATTGGTCTTTGGCTTCACTGACTTTCAAAAAGGCTTGGGCTTTCTACAGAATGCATGTCCTTTTGAAAACTGGCCCTAGTGCTGTGTGAAATTATACCTTTACTCTCTTAAAAATGCTTAAGCAGAGTATAAAGTACCGAGTTGCAAACTTGGATATGCTATTTAAATCATATAAAGTGTCTGCAGTGGACATGTTTACAAATGATGCTGGAAGTCAGGCTGGACTTGTATCCAACTAAGCTTAAAAAAAACCAGCACCCAAACCTTTCATCATATTATTGCATTAAAAAAACCAACCCCCAAACCCTTCACCATATTATTGCATTAGCTGTCAAAGCTCACAAGGAGTTATGGGCCGTCTTGACTGCTTGGGAATTATTTTTTATTTAAATCACAACTTGACCTGGACCTTTCACTCCCCCTCCCACGCAGCCACAGGAAGAAGGTGTTACAGCTTTTCTGGCCACTCAGCATGTGGCCTCTTTACTGGGACTCAAAGAATGCCAGTGGTTATTAATTATAAGTATAATTGAATTTGTCTGGAACGTAGCACAATATTAATCACTGTGGATATATGACTGGCAAGCCAGAAGGCAATTACCAGTGTGAAACTGATACTGTTTCTTAAATTATTTGTAAAGATAGCTGCAGGGTTTTTTTCAAGTATGCATAGAACTTCCTGGACTTAAAAAGGGTTTTTTTTCTGGTTTTGTTTGTTTATTTTATATAGTACGAAATCCATACACAGGACATAAATACCTGTGTGGTGCACTGCAGTCTGGAATTGTTCTACTACAGTGGTATGAGCCAATGCAGAAATTCATGTTAATAAAGGTAAGTATTTCATTTTAGTTTAGAACATTTAATCTTAATCATTATACAGTTGTTGAAATAACGTTTCCAGAATTTGTAATGGAAAGTGCATCCCAGTCTGGTGCCATTTGTGGGTTCTGAGCCCTTGAAAATCTGCCTTGACACATTTTGAGTAAGAAAATCTTGTGACTGAAGTCAGTCAAGTGTTGGATCAAGCCCAGCACTAGCAATAACAGACCAGCGTATACCTCTGCGCAACGCCATGTTGCTCCCAGCTCATGCTGGCTTAAAAACGCACTCTTAGTAGCAGTGAAAAATTCTTCTATACCTTTTATACTTTGCGCATGTTGTTTTAGGATTCTTACTTCCAAGGTAAAAGGAAACTTTACAAATGCCTCATTATGTTTTTTCCAGCACTTTGATTTTCCTTTGCCAAGCCCTTTGAATGTGTTTGAAATGCTAGTGATACCGGAGCAGGAGTACCCGATGGTCTGCGTAGCTATCAGTAAGGGTACTGAACCAAATCAGGTAGTTCAGTTTGAGACAATCAACTTGAACTCTGCTTCTTCGTGGTTTACAGAAATTGGTGCAGGTAAGACTGTCGGTCCACCTTGCAACCGTTTTATTGTCTGGTGACCGTTGGATATCCCTTCCTCGTATGTCATTTGGAAACCCTATAGGCTAGGCAAAATGATGCAGCTGCTTCTTAGCATATTGAAGCTGATCCCAGGTTTTTCTTGTGACAACCTGCCAACTTCAGTATAAACAATCTTTCTTAAAAGACTTCATTTTTAGACACATCTTTTATTTTTTACATTTTCTTAAGTAGTAATGCGGACCCTGCTTATTGGGTTCACGTTTGTGGTTGCATACTTTTTCCTGGGGTCAGTCTTACTTCTCTTTCCCCTTCTTTCCTGTGTAAAGACTCGCATAAATGCATTCTTGTCTGTCCTGCAGCCCTTGGGGGAGGCTTGTCATCTTCAGCTGGCTAGTAATAAGTAGAAGATTTTGTTTTATCTTCAATTATCTTCAAAAGCTAGTTGATACCTTGCAGATGCTTTTCTCTGCTGGCTTTGTTGGATATACTTTTTTAAATTTAAGTACTGCTTTTTAGCAGCTGTACCGAGAACTTCATTAATAAAAACTAGAAAAACTATTAACTCTAGTTTAATACCAGCAAAATAATCTTTCCAGATGTGGATTTATGGGCAAAGAACATTTTTAGGAGCGAAGATTCCCTTGATGATTCCTTTCTTTCATTATTGTGCCTCTTCGTGAAGGAAGCTGACTTGCTATCCTGAACTGCAACATAAAATATATTTTATGCCGATAAACAGTAGTGCTTTCATATTAAATGCACGCTTTGAACTGGTGGGTTTGTCCTTAGGCCCTGTGCTCCTCCCAGAACATTCTGCGATCATATAGCCTTCAAAATTAAAAGAGTAACAAATACTGTAGATTGCAAAAGGCTTGTAGCGTACTGAAAAGGCTGTAGCAGTTGGTGAGAGGCTGAGATCAGTTGCATGATGTGATATAAAATAATTTGTTTTCTTTTTCATAAGGCAATCAACAGTTAGATGCCATTCACGTAACACAGCTGGAAAGAGACACTGTCCTAGTCTGCCTGGACAGTAAGTAACACATCTCTGTTGGACAAGTTAAACCACATTATGCAAAACTTGTTTTGCCAGAGTTGTTGATTTTAACTGTACCACAAGTTAATTTTTCTCCCTTCATTACTACTTTGTGTTGTTGTGATTCCACTTTCCCTCTTCATGTGTGTATCATTCTTGTTTCTTTTCAAATTGAAGTGTAATGCAGCATTACAGATCAGAATTCAAATATATGCCAATCGGAAATTGTCAAAGTTTACTGGGAAAAAGTGACATTTGCCTGTTGCGTGTGGTAGCAGGACAAATAGCTAACACTCCATCATACACAGTAATTATAACCATAACTCATGCATCAGAGGTTAATACCTCAATGGGAACTTTGCAGTGACTTAGTCTGCCTAAATTTCCAACCTTGGTGTTGAATTCGCATTTCTGCGCTGTTTGTTATTTGCAGGAAGGCTGTCAATATAGTCTAAAAACATAGGAAGTGTATAAGAAGGTTTTCTGTATTTATTTTGAGAGAAGGATTCATTTTAGGCAAATACTGTAGATGTTAGGTTTGGGGGTTTCTTTGTGCCTGAAAGATGAAATGAGTATTTCATACTTAAAGCTGTCGGTAATCCTTTTCAGCAGTGGGGTTTAATACTTATTTTTCTGTTTTTTCTTGAGAATTTGTGAAAATCGTGAATTTACAAGGGAAATTGAAGTCAAGCAAGAAATTGGCCTCCGAGCTGAGCTTTGATTTCTGCATTGAGTCAGTGGGTAAGTGATTTGCTGCTTTATTGTCTCTCAGGGTCTTAAGAACTTAGAGGGATAAGTGTTGAAGGAGTTTTAATAATCTAGACTGGTCTACTGCACCCAGTGAGGCCCAACACTAAAAATTGCATGTGTCAGGATATTGCAAGCTGTCTTTTTGTCTCCACTGACATGCTGAAGAAAGTCAGGCAGTTGCCTGATAGTGTGTCCAATCTGCGCATATTTCTGTCTGGTGTCATTTCTGTTTTATGAGTAAGATGTACCGTGATTTAGTTGAAAAAAAGGCTGACTAATTTCTGGTCATTTCCATAGCACTGAGGAAGAACCTTTGGAGAGGAAAAAATGTTTTAGTAGCACATAAATTTCTGTTAGTCTTCTAAAAGCTAAGATTTTATTTAAAGTGATAGCACATCTGTTTTTTAACAGTCAGGGTAATAGTATTTGAATCTAATTCTTAGAGGACAGGCTGCTGTCTTTAGACTACTAGAGGACAGCAGCCTTGCTTCTAAAACTTGAGTTGTAATTGTGAAGCAAGTATTTCTGCTGTGATAAGCTTTCAGAAGTATTTAGTTAACGGAAGTTTAATAATTCCATGCCTCAGAAACTGAACTTCTTTCTGGAATCAAAATCAGTAAAGACACAACTTGTGTTTGTTAGCAGTTCCGTACAACTTGCAGTTCTGGGTTCTTCAGGCATCTTCCCTTTAGAAGAAGATTCTTGCCGTAGGTATTTTGTATTTAACAGCAGTTGGTAAAGCAGTGCACATTCTTTTAATCAAGCCTATGATTCTTCCCTAAATTCTGACATGTTCTAATTAACTGCTGTACTTGTATCATACAATATCTCCTGCTGACACATGCATAATGTGACTCGACCATTGCCTTTTCCTTGAACTCTGAAGGAATTCATAGACAGAAGTATTTATCCTGAAGTCTCGCGCTTACCAGCTGACACTGAATAATGTGAGCAGTTCTTTGCACTCCAAGTGGTCTCTTGGGAATTCAGGGTATTAAACAACTCTATTCTCTGGTTGCAGGGTGGAGTGGGGAGTAGCAGGTGAAGATGAGGCTAAGGCTGTTGTGACAAACATTGCTCTTAGGATTCTGCTGAATGCCTTTGTTCTGCGTATTCAGGACGTGGCTAATACTGAGCAGACAGAAAATGTGACTCGAAGGAATAGTAAAGGAAAACAAGTAGGATTTAGGAAAATAAAACACGGTGTAAAATATGTTTCCGTGACACTGCCTAAAGAACACCAGGCTCTTTCATCCATTATTTTCAGCGGTCTGGTAATTAAATCATTCAGAGCTGGTAGCTTTCTGTGTTCTCTCTTTGGCCCTGAATGGAAGACTCCTCCCATTTTTCATACTTACATCTATTTTGAAGTAAATGTAATAACTCAAATGATCTGTATTTTCCAGCAACCCACAGTGTTTTGGTTGGCAGCATGTTTATATGCTTCCTGGTGTTTTCTCCAGAATCATTAGGAAAACAAAGATCCAGAGAACAGAAGTGAAAGGGAGAAAAAGAAAAACCAGAGATGCCTATCTTGTCTTGGCAAACAGGGAATGTCTGCGTGGTAGTTTTGAATTGCACATTAAAAAGTAATGCGCATCTTGGATCCAATTAGTCGTTTCAGTCCAGTTTTTCTGCAGTGATTTTGGAGTTTGGTTCTTCTACCAGGAGTCCAGTTCTCACCACATCCTTTCTCCACGCGTACTTTCACCACACACTTCCCATCATCACTGCTGGTGAGAAATCCAGATTTCTCTGCTTCAGATAAACCACGCTCAGGTCTGATTTTGTGTTTCTCCTTTGCAGTGTGCCTTCAAGACAGTGTGCTGGCCTTCTGGAAACACGGCATGCAGGGAAAAAGCTTTAAGTCAGATGAAGTAAGTAATCTCCCGGTCTCTCCAGGTTTAATTTCTTCCTGTTCCTTGTTTACCACTTGATCCTTTTGCCCTTCTAGCTGCTTCCCTAGTGATAATGCTTGTGCTCCATGTTGTCATTGCTTCAGCTTGCTGCTTGCTTTCTCTGACTTCCCCTCATGTGTTGCTCTCAATAAAGCGCACACGTGCTTTAGCCAGCTCTGTTTCCAAGAATATCAGTCAGAGATTCCTGAACTGGTTCTGCACAGAGCCGATACAGATATGGTGTAAGCAGCATTTGGGTTTCTTGGATCTTGGATGAAAAGCTCGAGTTGGCAGTATCCCTTTACAAAAAAAAAAAAGGACACCCTTTTCTTTTTTTCTTTTTTTTAAGTGTCCCTTTTAAGTGTCTTTTTTTCAAAAAGAATACTGTCCTTTTTGATGGTATGCTCTGAAAATGCAGAGAAAGCTAGTCAGTCTCTGCGGACAAAGATTTGATCAACATACTCCATCTGCGCCACCAAGTCATCTAGACTGGTAACAGTCTACAATACAAAAATTATTTTAAATAAGTTGTATTTTATGAAATCTAAAACTCTCTTTTGCTTAGCATCAACTTATCTGATTCAGTTGTGTATTTTGCACTAAATTGTATTTGAATTTTTGAGGAGACTGATCTTTTTTTTTCCTTGTAACGCAGACCAATAAACTTCATTTTGCCACTGAAATCGACCTAAATGTCTCCACTTTTCTGCAGGTTACCCAAGAGATATCAGATGAAACCAGGGTTTTCCGCTTACTGGGATCAGACAGGTAATCACCTTGAAGAAACATAAACCTTTTATTTTATTTAAACCAGCTTTCTAGCTTCCAGCTGGAACTGGCTTCCAGCCCACCACAGATCTATCTGTAGGCAGTCCCGGGGGAGGCAGTAACACTGTTTCTGCCTGCAATAGCCAAAATGTAATTAGTGATTGCATCTGCGTCCAAAATTATGACTAAGAGCCCCTGTGACCTCCCCCACTTTGCACTGCAGAGATAGAAGTGTGAATACAAACACAGGCTTATAGAGAAACAGCGTGAGGAGAGACGTGACTGGGAGAGATGAGAACCTGTCTTTGGCCCATGGTAAGCAGGCTGCCCAGGGCACTTCTGGAAAAGCCTGCTCCTGGCTTGGATTTTACTGGTGAACTGGTGAATTGTCTCAGCAGCTAGTTACTTAAAAATAATCTTCACTGCTCTGGACCTTGAGGTCTGGAAACAGCAAAGCAAAGTAGATCACGTACAGGTTTTAATGCACAGTGATCTCCATTCACCCATTACCCGTAACTTCGAGCTGATTCCTTTCAGCCGCTGATGCTGGGGAGAGGTGCAGCTGCCCCAGTCGCCAGATTCGGACATGTGCACTTGTGGTTTCTCAGATAGCCAGAGTCCTAAATGTAGAAGCAGAGTCCAGAAATCAGTTCTAATCCCTGATCTTCTGCTCCCTCCTTTGGTCTTTGGGAAGCCTGGCTCTGACTCGCTTTCTGTGGTAATCTGTAGTTTTGTGTACTTACATCGTTGGCTCCCCAGTCCAGAAAGACAGTGAGAGTGTGCTCGCTGTTTTGAAGAGGAGGCGTAGCCTATACAAGAAACATCTGAAGACTTTGCTTTGCACCTGGCTCACCGAGGACCCTCTGTACTCGGGCACTGCGGTCGGAATTGAGGATCCTTGCCACCGCTGACTCTGGGATCTCAAAAACACAAACACAGTGCAACCTCTGACAATGCATACTCTGCCTTTTCTGTCTGTCATCCCCCTTGTGCGGACAGGCAGTGGTAATTTCCTTCCCTCTTACTCCCAGCAGAGCAGGGAGCATTTTATTGCAAGAATGAGCTTTTGCTAAGGTCCACTGCAGTACAGATGCTGTATGTATTTGTCCAGGTATGTGCTGTGCCACCATCAGTGAATCTTTCTTGCAGACTGGAATTGGTACCTTTAAATGCTTAGGGACATGGTTTAGTGGTGGGTTTGGCAGTGTTAGGTTGATGGTTGGACTTGATGATCTTAAAGGTCCCTTCCAACCTAGACAATTCTGTGATTCTAAATGGCTTGTATTTCTGTGTTGGGCTGATGAACACAGGAGCATCCTAAACGCGCAGAGGGATGGGAAGCAGCATCTCACCTGGTTCGGCTTGCACTTTTATAGAAGACATACGTATCTGAATAACAACTCGGTACAAAGCGCTTTTTGGGGTGGAGATCAGGTTGAAGTCCTTCTGCTGTTTTGCATAGAAGCCATTTTCTTCCACTCTGATCTCCTTGAACTTTGGCAAGTCCCTTGTTCTGTATTTTTCCATCCCTGTACAAATGGAGCAGGAGTTTTTCCTACCATTCAAGTGAATGAGATGTGGTAGCACCTTTTTGGCTTGGATCACTACTACTGAGTTGCAGAAGTGAAGATCAGGGACAGGGGCTGTCAAGAGTGAGACTTCATTTGAAGACTTTTTGAGGAATGTGACATGGGAGGGGAGTGTGTGCAATGCTAACGCTGAGACAGGCTCCCTTTGAGAAATCTAACTCAGAGTTCAAGTGCCGCATTTGGCTTCTTTGATACACAGGTGAAAAACAAAAAGCAGAGCGAAGTTTAATCTTAAAAGTGACGGGATATTGTCCTAGGAACTGGTGCACAGAAACGCAGGAGCTAGGCAGTTGGAAGGGAGAGGGGAAGCCAAAGGCCCAACCATATCGGCCGTGAGGTGATTGTTGAGGTTCAGCATGGGAGAGATGTGTAGAAGATGGCAGTCAGTGTGTCAGGACAGGGAGAGACAGGTTTTTCAGAGGAGCCTACAGGAACATGATCCAGCAGGACAAAGGCTGAGATGGGGTTGAGTGTTCCCTGTGAACCCAGTGGCTAGTAAATATTTAAAAGGGAGAAGAACTGTTTAGGTTAGTGGCTGATGCTTATCGCAAGACATAGGAGGTATAAACATATTGGGGCTGCAGATGATTGGAAGGTTGCATCTCCTCAAAACACTCTGGCTCTGAGATACCTTCCCCGTAGAAGCAGAGGACGTAGCTTATTTCAAGGTGGAGGATGTCAGTTGGGAAGAGGTTTGTAACACGTTGCATGTGCCTTTGGTTGAGAGGGGCAGATTCTGGTTTATCAGAAGTGATGCTGGAAAATGTGGTAACTGATTTGAGGAATACAATACCCAAGATATTTAGGAGAACCTGTATCCCTCCAATGCGTAGAAAGCTGCAGGCAACAAGTTTGTTCCTCCTCAGTAGTTATACCACATGCTCTGTATTTTGCCACTAACCATTTTGGATTGTGTTTGTGTTTGATTGCAGAGTGGTAGTGTTAGAAAGCCGGCCAACAGAAAATCCGACTGCACACAGCAATCTCTACATCTTGGCTGGACATGAAAATAGTTACTAAGCAACAGTAACCTAACGCAAATAACAGAGTGAATTTGCCACACAAGGAACAAAGAAGCATTAGGAAACTCCATACAAGCAGGACTGTGACTTACTGTTTCTTTTCTTGACACGTAAATGATGTTGTTTTCGGGTGGAAATCAATACATTTTTGCAGCTGGGAACAGCTGGTTCTGTCTCTTGCCACTGTGTGGTTGGTTATATCGAGTTTGCTTAATAAAAGCTATGAGATAAATAGCCCTTTACTCATTAGTTTTAGGGAAACAGAGCCTTTAAAAAAAATGTTTTGCAGTAAAGGTGCCATAAACTGTTAAATATTTTACTTCCCTTGGATTTTCCTTATATTCTGTAGATGTAGATATAGTACTGGCTGTTTCCCTGTTTTATACTGAGTCTTAATGAAAAAAGATTTGTGTAGGAAGTGAAAGTATCTGCAAAGCTTTTTGGTTTTAAATCTGCCATTCGGTATGGCTTTGTATAATAGACTATTTAATCCTTATTTATTAATCTGCTGCTAGAATGGTGTAATGTATCTAACTTTTAGCAAAGGAAGGTTGCAGAGCAGCTTACTTTTTTTTTTTTACAGTTGTATAAAGATTTGATTATTCTTTTTTCTCGTAGGGGTGTAGTGCATTATTGAGGGGTATGTTACAATGTTGGTTGATCTTGTAAAAATGCGGTTTTGTACAACAAAGTATTTTGTATTGATTTTCTGCCTGCAGAATTGCCATAAAAGGGATTTTCTTATTTACTAGATGTAGGGTGTGTGTACACAAAATATAATATTGATATCAGACATGTTGCTACTGGGTGGGTGTGTACAATATACGTGTGTGTGTGCATGTGCGCATGTGTGTTAAGTTGACCGGCAGTGTGTATTTTTTTTATATATATATATATTTATATATATATAAAAATGTACAAAATATATGCTTTATTTTCATAAATTAGGGATAAGCCTTGTGACGTGAAATGGAAATTGTACCTGGTCATCATCCTTAATGAATGAAAGTATCATGTATCAAACTGCCCATGACGTATAGTTTATTTATACTATTCCAGAGGGGAGCCTATAGTGATAACTGAGCTTACGAGCTTTTTTGTTCGTGCAGCCATCCAGCCGTTGTCACTCAGACAGTTGTTTGGAAATGGTTATTCCCCAGCTGTGTAGTATAAATAAATATGATAAGAACCAGTATCCTATATTAAAGCTTTCGATCACTTTTTTTTCCCTTCCCTATTTTGTCACCTGCATTTTTCTTTCTCTTTTTATTTCTCCATTAAAGAGTCACATCGGTTCCTTTTGTCTTCCTCATTAATTAAAATTCTTGAGGTACCATTAAATATAAATATAGACTGACTACAGGATAGCATCTGGTTTTACTACCTCACATTAACCTGCTAGCTTCACTGTAAGTAAACACAGTCCATAGGCAGACACGGTGGCGGTTCACAAACATTTGAATTGAGGGGGTTTGAAATGAAATCCTACAGCGTACTGCTGCCTGCTCGATTTCTGGGAGCCGCCACCCCAGGCCAGAGAGGTTAGAAGCTTCACACGTCATTTTAGTAAAGCGGTAAAGGTGAGTGTGTTACAACGGCCTGGCCTGTCTGACGGCTCTGCGGTTTGATCTTCACTCACAACCTGAGGAATTGCTGGTGTCTGCTTAGGCATCAGACGGCGCGATTCATAATTTAACATTGATGGAATCCACTCGGCACACGTGATGACTCGGTAATGTCTGTTTGTTACTAGGTACAGCTGGAGTTTGATGTTGTTCTGAAGGTCTGGAAGGAAAAATAGACCTGCGCACAATTTAGCATTTTATCCCCTTAGCATTGTCATTCAAAACTAATTCTTGCTCTGGACTTGATATTTAAATCAGGTCAAGCTTTTCAGTTCTGAAACTGTATCAAAGTTTAATAAATAGTAAGTGTACAGATAATTACAAATCCGTTCACATCAGCTGTAATTGGATCAGCAGTATTAAAAGAGGGATGTGTAACTTTGGTGTTTTAAAGAAATTGAGTTCTCTAGAACTGAAATTACTTCTCCATAGGTAACAGTGATTGGTGATTAACCCTCAGATGGTATAACTCCTTGTCTACAAAGACTTCACAATGAAAATGAAGACAAAGTGAAGCACCAGGTGTAGATGTTGTAGAGCAAACGCTTTCACTTAATTTACCTCATTCACTGCAAACATAATTTTGGCATCATCTTTGAAAACACTTAAAGAGAAGACCTCTAAAAGACTAGAGAAATCTGTAAATAAAATAGGAATATTTATGGGGAATGACTGGAGTAAATAACTATTAGGTCATGACACTGTCATGCAGAAGTAATGAACTGAAAGTATTTTTCTTTGAATGACATGAATGACTGGTGATTTGCTGAATCATAGAAAATGAATCTAGGAAAGTCATTTAATCAAACCTCCTTTTTTTAGCTTTCAAAGCATTTCTAATGGCATATTCCGAAATGCTTTGTCTGGGTTGGTTTTATAGACAGTGGCATTTTTTGCATGATCTGCAAGATACTGTTTCCTAATGTAAAACCTCACTCGTTACTCTTAGCGGAGTATAGCACAACGGATTTGCATGTTTCATAGCTGAACCGGCCAGTCTCGGTGACTCTGACTAGTGTAATTTGTATTTGTTAGACTGTTTAAGTTAGTCTGGTATTGTCTGTATCTTTGTATGTTTTTGTGACGTTTCAACCAGGGTTGAGAAAGCCTAGTGTGCAGAGGTTTGGAGTTTGTAAAGCAAAAGCTTGCTCACCCCCTCATTACTCTTTTGACAGATGTCAAAGTATTAGTTATCTGGTGCACAAGGTTCACGTATTCAACTTGAATGCCTTAAAACAGGCTCCCAGTGCTCTTTGAAGTACAGACAGTATTTGAAGAGCAGCCTGTAGATTAGTCTCTTTTGATTTCCTGACCAAATTAATTGTAACGAAGAAATACAACTGTAATTGTGATGACATCTCTTTAAAAGATGAAAGGTACAACGCATCAGTGAGCCACTGTATCTCTGAATGAAAAGGACAAGACTGGGAGACTTTCTGAAATGTACTTTTTACCTTGTTTAGTCATTAGATTGTAACTGAGACTCTAACTGCACTTGTTCCAGTTTGTGTAACTAGGCTTTGTTCTACATAAATTTCTGTTGCAGTTCATTTCAGTCTATGCCAAATAAACTATGCTTTATTTGATACCTAGATGTGGCGTGATAGAGTTGCTGGGAACAATACCTTATTGGACGTATCTCCAAAGAAGTAAAACAGTCTCCAGGTTTTATGGCGGTTGGTGGGAAGAGCCTGATCCGGAGCAGGCCACTCTGCTCAATCCTACAGGCTGCCCGGGAGCCACACGACATCTCCCACGTACAGCAGATTGACGAGGAAAGGGAGGTCTGGTGATAGCGTGGGAATGAGAAATCAGAATAGCAGTGGCAAAGTCAGTCCAGCTTTGTGCTACCCAGCACAGCCCTGCTGCCAGTCGCCTGGAGTCACCACGGAACCACTCCTGAGTTGTCTGGCTTGAAGACCAGAGACTGGCTTCCTCATGCCCAGTTCATCAGATAGATAGCACAGCGGCTGGTGGGCTCTAAAGGAGAGTTCCTTAGAATAAGAAAACATGAACACAAGCATTTGGCACTCCACCCTGGCCACAGCTCAGTCTTAGCAGGATCTAGAGCAGTTCATACCAGCCTTGCCCTCATGCGTTGGCCACCTGTGTACTGCAAGTGGTTCAGCCGTTGGTCCATCCGGACCCCAGATCTTCAGGGATGTGCTGAGGTAGAGAGAAAAGGGGGTTTGTGAACGTGCCTTTGGACAACAGAAAGAACTGCCAGTTACTGGTAAACAAATAAATACAGATAAATGCTCCTCCTCTGTGGAAGACTATTCCCACTGTGGGTGAATCTCAGTGTCAGCCTGTATGTGTTATCGTCATAGATTCCATGATTCTATCACAGAAACCTTGATAGAGCTGGAAAAATCTCAATGGCAGGATAGTTCTACCAAAGAACACATTTGTCATAAGAGTACTCTTCACCCTTTTATTTTTAAAGTATGCAGAGAAAGAACCAAAAAGAGACAGCACGTGTGGCAGCGAGAACATGAAGAGACTACTCATCCTTGATGAATGTGGCTTAGGAAGAAAAATAAATAGTGAATCTTTTGTCCTGAGTAGAATTCAGGACGCACTCCAGGAAAGGACTGGGGAGGGAGGAGGCATAAGTTGGAGTAGGGTGTCTACACCCATCTCCAAATCTACAACTGGAAGCAATTGCCACCATAAAAGGCCCTCTTTGTCAGGGTATGAGGAAATGGCTAAGGAGCCCAGGGCCTAAATGAGTGCATGAGGAAAGATAATGCAACGGTAAGAGATGGAAATGCTCGCTGAAAGGGTCTAGCTTCTGGTGGAATCTCATCAGCTAGGAGACACTTACTGAGGTGCTTGAACTGTCCAGGGGGGAGATGTTCCAGGGAAATCCAGGCTGCATCCCCAGCAGCGTGGCCAGCAGGGCGAGGGGGGATTGTGCCCCTCTGCTGCGCTCTGGGGAGACCCCCCTGCAGTGCTGCCTCCAGCTCGGGGGGTCCAACAGCAGAAGGACACGGAGCTGTTGGAGTGGGGCCAGAGGAGGGCACAAAGATGCTCCGAGGACTGGAGCCCCTCTGCTGGGAGGACAGTCTGAGAGGGTTGGGGGTGTTCAGCCTGGAGAAGAGAAGGCTCTGGGGAGACCTTAGAGCCCCTTCCAGTGCCTAAAGGGGCTCCAGGAGAGCTGGGGAGGGACTCTGGATCAGGGAGGGGAGCGATGGGATGAGGGGGAACGGTTTTAAACTGAAAATGGGGAGATTTAGATATTAGGAAGAAATGTTTTACTGTGAGGGAGGTGAGACACCACCACCGCTGGTTGGAGAGGGTGCCCGGGCTGCCGGGGTGAAGGGCTGTGGGTGCTGTTTGAAGCCTGATGACTTTGGGGGAGACGTTCCCT